CTCTAGAGAGAGAGGCAGAGATCTTGCTCTAGAAGTTTTGTAGAGAGAGAGGGATTTTAGTGAGAGAAGCTCTCAAGCTTGTCCAAGAAGTTTAACCTCTTCAATATGAGATATTTGGCTCCATATATAGCAAAATAAAAGCTTTTGGTTGAAAATATCTGATTTGGGACAGGTGGCACAAGCTAGAAACAGCTGGAGGAGAAATATCTGCCAATTCTGAGCTTTCTGGACACTTCTGGCCGACTGGCCATTTTTTTTGGCCGATAAGGTTCACTTTTGGCCGACCTATGGCCGATGAGGTCAAATTGTGGCCGATGCACTTCCATAGAGGCCGATGGAAAAAATCATTCCTGGTCCCTAACTTAAAGCAAGCCTAATTCCTTAATTTGGACTCATTTTCAGGTCATTCTTGAGCCTAAACCGTAGCCCCGGAAGTCTGATTTTCAAATTTGGTAGCCTTGCCTCAAAATTTTATGTGTGCTAAGAGATATTTCTCTTTTAGTGAAGGTTGTTCAGTTTCATTCCGACCAGAATGATGCCCAACTTCAACCAATCATATCTCTCCCATCCGGGCACGGATTTAGGAGATTCTTAAGTGAAAAATGAAGCCCCAGAAGTAAGCTTTCCAGCGGTGGTGGCCTCATAGCTGAAATCCAAGTATTCAAAAGGATAGGCCTGATTTCGCGAGGGCTGCTCGACTTTCTCTTAACGATTCATGCCCATCTTCTTCTCCAACTAGGTTTCTTCCCTCTTCTCCTCTTTTCTTCAACTCCAAACCCCTAAGCAAGGTGTTTTGAAATATTTTTTAGAGATTTCACCTCTCTTTCATTCATTTCCACTTTCTCCTTGCTCGGTTTACCGAAAAGCACAACATTTAACGAAATGCGAGCGTCGAAATATCGTAGGAACCTATTTTCCAAAATGTTTTGAAAGAGAGAGTTTTAAAGTCTAAAAACCATTCAAAATAATTTTGGCCCAAAAGGGGTGTGAAGTTTGGATTTGACTCTCTCTTTGCTGAAGAAATCGAATCCTTGCACTGCACAACTTTCACCACCAAGTAAACCATCAGCGACACCCAAGTCTTAAAGGCGGTCAAAAATGGGGTGTTTACACTTGTGAATCAAGGGACAAAATCTCAATAAATGACAATGAAAGCCCATAAACCTCCTCCCTATCATGGAATATATCAAGGGAAGTTGTAGACCTTAAATCTTGAACTATTTTCATTACTAAAAGTATGAAATGACTCAAGACTCAATGGGTTTAATTAACATCCGATTGAACCCAAACTATTTTATTATCTTGTTCCATTTTAGCCCCAATTTTTTAGTTTTTTTTTTTAATTACCTTTCCATTCCTTAGTTACTTTAGTTCAAAAAAGAGCATTAAGTCCACTAAGGGAGAGAAGTGTTAAACAAGACGTTATTTTGGGGATGAGAGAGATATCATGCCTTGGTAATAAACCTTCGAAGAGATTAAATCATTAAGCATGGAAGGGTCTCTTTCTCGAGTTTAAACAACACTCAGAGATGATTATGTATGAACACAAGTATGCAAAGCATGAAATAAATGCTATCAACTCCAATAGGTTCGTGGCTAAGGCCTAAACCACAAAACCTATAAGGACAACTATACTATAAGCATGCTATACAAAGCATAAATGAAATAAACAACCTAAAACGGTCCTAAAATAGCTAAAAATAATGCTAGAAATAACATAGAAAAGCTGGAAAAAGTTAACTAAAACAATGTAGAAATTGAGCTAGTAAACAAGCATAAGGGGGGTAGCTAACCCCTCCATTTTCAGGACCTCAAGACAACATTTTCAGTCTCTGAAAATCTCTAAAAATTAGTGGTAAAAAGTTGAGAAAGAGATAGGAAACACAAGGGAAAAAGCTTGGGAAATAAAGTTCAAAGAATGGTGATTAACCTCTCTGCCTTTAATAGCTTTAAGCCACAAGTTTCAGTCCATAGAAATAGTTGAAAAACAGTCCAAAAAAAGTAAGAAAAGATAGAAAAGAAATTGTGCAAAAGAGTTAGGAGTTAAACCTCTTGAAGAGGAGTAACACTTTGAGTTTCAATCCAACAAATTCTCACCCTCAAAAGCTAAAATTCAAGCTCAATAACCTCAGCAAAGAGCCCTCAAAATTTGGTTTAGGGAGTCTAGGTAAAGTGTATATAGGTTGCAAGGTAGAAAGAGAAATATTTTTCAAGAATTTTGCTCCACAAAATTTTTCTAACCTCATTTCAAGAGCGGTGGTCAAGTATATATATAAAAATATGTTACTATCTTGGAAATATCAGTATATAGACAGTTGATGCAGTGCATGCAACTGTGGGGACAGCTGGCATAGCTAGCAGCAAAATATCTGTTCTACCAGAACAACTGACCGACCAACCACTAGGGGGACGGTCGGCCACTCATCTGTGGCCAATCAGCCACTAGTTGGCCTACAGGCCTTTAAGTGGTCAGGCTTGGAGAAATGCTATTTTTGTCCAAAAGTGGTGCAAGGTTTGTAAGCTTCTGAGACTCAAAACCAAGGCTTCTTACTGAGGAAATCGAGCATTTGCACAGCGTATAAATTCATCATTGTTTGAGTAATCTGAGGCGCCCAAGTCTTAAGTGCGGTTAAAAATGGGGTGTCTACAATGGCCAACAAACAAAATAGAAAATTGAAAGACAAAAGCCTTCTACGTGAGACATCCTTGGTTGACTCCTTAAAAACTTGGTAACCTTCGCAGATTCAATAAAGCTAGAGTTGGATATCTCGCTGCTCACCAACATACATGCATATACGGAGTGAGTTAACACCTAGTGCATAACATTAGAGTAAAAATGTTATATGAGTGAGTTCTATATACAAAAGTAAAATCATAAGATAACCTCATTACATAGCAAAATGACCTCGGGTCCAATACATGAAAGAACGACCTTAGGTCCATAGCAGAACGACATCAGGTCCATTACATAATAGAACGACCTCGGGTCTAATACAGTTGTATAAAAGGGCCTCCGGCCCAACATATAATAGAACGACCTCATGTCCAATACATAACAAAATGACCTTGGGTCCATAGCATATACATTTACAAATTACATACTGATCAGACAAATAGAAGACTCATTCATACTTTCAAAATCATAACTGCAGAAAAGCTTACCACATTGATACAGTTATAAAATATTTTACTAAGATATTACTCACCTTAATGCTCTTCCATAACGTTCAAACCTACATATAACTATACACATTGAAACACACAGTTCGAATTCTCTTTTTCTAATCCAATCATTCACATTAATTTCTCACTTATTAGTTCCTTGATGAGCCATAATTCATGCCTAAAATTTCTCCATAAAAGATGAGAACGAAGATATAAACGCAAAAGAACTTGTCAAAATATGCTGAAAATGACTTGACTGATTGAGCCACATTTTGGTTGCTCGAGTGGACTGCATGGACTGCAAAAATACTGGGATAGTCTGATCTGCGCTCGAGCCAACACTTGGTCGCTCGAGCGGTCCAACAATATGCAGAGGGTTCACTCGAATGCAAACTTGGTTGCTCGAGCTCTCTGTAAAGATTGCAAAAGTACTAGGAGCTTGTCAAGTTTACGCGAGCACACACTTGGCCGCTTGAGCGGTCTGTAGAATGTTTGAGTTTTCCAAAACAGAGTTTGAGCTCCAAAAATGCAAACCTTCGGTCATGCATGGCTCATTCAAAAGCACAAAGTTGCTTTGGAAAATATGTGTAAATGACCCCTCAAAAACCATTTTCTCAAAATCACTTTAAATCTACCAAAATTGAATCCAATAACTCATGCATGTAATTTTTTCCAAGTCTTTTTCTCAAAACACATAAATTTATCAAATTTGAGCTCAAAAGCACCATGCATGTACAAAACTCTTTTCCAAAACATGAATTTAAGAGTTAACACATGATGAATGAAACAACATGTGCAAATTAACCCATAATTTCAACATGAATGCTAGAATTCAAACTCAACGTGGCAAAACTCAATATATGTAGTAAAACTTATGATAAAGATGATGATTCTTCACTCTTATGTGCATGCATGTATGAAATATCCTTCAACTTAAGCTTAGATAGCAAAATTATGTTAAAAAATTACAGAACTCTTCAAAATCGCACATGTATGTATCGATTGACTTCAAATTCATCATATTTTAGATATTCTATTGTGATGAATCTCTTAACTTCCCGAATACACATAAATGTCGACTTAAACTCATGAATTAGAGTTCAAAAACTCACATAAGGTCTTGAATTAACCAAATTCTTGCAAATCCTAAAGCTTCTCTTCTCAATCTTCAAGAGTTAAGCCTTAATCTTCCAATTCTCTAGCTCGCTCTCTCTCTCTCTCTCTAAAATGAGAGTTTTCTCTCTCAAATGAGAGTTCTCTCTCTCTACAAGTCCCCATTGATTTTTGCACTCGAGAATGAAGAAGATGAACTCAAATGAGCTCAAGGCACTTATTTATATGTCTAGGATAGCATAATACATCAATTAGAATATTACGCTAATTAAACACAACTTAATTAATTAATCTAAATCAATTTTTAATCAAACTTACCATATGGTTCTAAAAATTCCAATTAGTCTATTCATGTAATCGATTTCGATTTCTGAAATCATTTAAGCCACCAATTTTGAATTTCTAAATAGAAATCATAACAGATAGTTTTCAAATCAAATAAATATACACAAATTAATCACATGGCACATATCATAATTAAAATATAACACATAATTAAATAAATGTAATCATGATATGCATATTGGGGTCATCACAATAAGAGACCAAGAAAAAAAAAAAAAAAAGAAATCTTAAAAAAAAAAAAGAAATCTTTTAGTGGCTAAAGATGTGAAAAATTCGGGCAATAACAAAAAATATTTTCCAATTCATGTAGAATAGAGCTTGCTGCACCAAATTTCAAAACATTCATGAAGCAACTTCACCATGACAGATAAATATGTAAAAATTTCCACAAAAGATGAATGACATAGTAGAATCAAATCCCAATTCTCCCACACACATATCATTGTAGACAAAATAGTTTACAGACACTTGTTCCAACCTGATCAGGCTAGAAAAGTATTCTTAGGTATAGAAAGGAGCAGAAGAAGCTGAACAACAACTAAACAAAAGTTTAATGTGCACTCAAAGACAAAGGAGTAAAAGATTTTATATGTCCAAAACTTATATTCTATTGTTTCACATGGAGGACTCACCATCTTGATCAATCTCAGATGTTGGTTCGTCCTGATCTTCTAAGCACTTACTATCAAAAGCTCCATGGCCACAACCAAAGGCCTTAATGTGGTCTTTCAGAGATCTCTTGTGCTTAAAATCAGAACCACAAATGCAATACCAAATCTTGCCACAATTCTTCTCATGGGTTCTCCAATCACCTTTCACAGCAAATGGCTTGCCACATTTTGTACAAGTGAAGGGTTTGGTCCCATGCTTTCTCTTGTAATGTGTTTGCAGAGTTCTGAAATCTTTGAGTGGCCTTGATCTTGGGTGATCAGTGTTGTACTTGCACCCCGGTGCACAACAATAGCAAGGGAGTCTTAGCATAGCAGTCGGTTGGATACCCCTCAATGACTCTGGTCCTTTTCTATATTGAGATCCATGTCCCCACATATGCATCTACAAAATAAGCAATACTAAGTTCGAAGTTTAGAGAGAGGGAGAGAGAGAGACACACACACAAACCAAACTAGAAATACAATAATATATAACCTGTCCATGCCATTCAAAACACCAGAATATTTTGAGTTTTTATTGTTGGAGATAATTTGAAATTTTCTAATTAATACAGTAGCAAAATTCTAGAAGTCAAAAATGTTTTTCAATGTTGTAAACAAAGTTGTTAGTATTCCTAGGTTTCTAGTTAATAGTAAAATTCTAGATAAGTCAAAATTTTCTTTCAGCAGAGTTGTTAGTATTTCGAAGTTTCTAGTTAATTTTAGAGTATAAAGTTGTTCCAGGATTATCCAAAAACCCAACAGCGGTATCAAAGCCAAGTTAGATCATAAATTGGGCATGTGTTTCCCACTAAAAATGAAGCTAATCATTAAACAAAGATGGCAACATATCAACAGTGGGATTTACTCAACCAGTGATCATTCCAATCTTCAGTAGAATATGTTATGATTTTTGGAAGATCAAAATGAAGACTTTGTTATTGTCTTTATGGAGTATTGTTGAAGATGGCTACTTGAAAAATCGCCTGAAGAATGCAAAAGCGTTACACTATCTTCATCAAGGAGTATCAGATACAATTTTTTCAAGAATCATAAATGCCACCGAAGTATAATGTTGTTCAAGGATTAACTAAAAACCCAGCAGTTATATATGATGAATAAAAGTAGAACTGCTGCTAATATATATAGTTCACAAATAAATGACTAAGCACTAATTGTGCTTAAAATTATGGGAGATGGTGGTTGTGATTTTTAAATCAGAGGAGACAACTAGTGGGTTTTCATTAGAACTGTGCAGTGCAGCAGACATGAGATTCGTCTGAGTCTCACTACATGTGTTGTTTTTACAAACTAGACTAGAGAATTCATATATTTATTGGAAGGGCTAGATCATTTATGAAAATCATCTACACCCTCGAAGCAGAAGGACTGTAGATTTTACTCATTACTTTACTTTTACCTACCTGAAAATCATCTACACCCTTCACAAACTTCAAAGCACCTCATATGCATAAGAAACATTGCATGAATAGTTAAATCACAAGAAGAAAGGAACTGATCATCTCAGTCGACTATGGAACATATATCTAACTATTTTTAATTCAAATCTGAAGGGAGAAAAAAAGGAACGCAAATGGAAATATATATATATATATATAAAATAAAAAAAATTAAAAAAAGGAAATAGAAGAATTTAAGGATGAGTAAGGGAGGAGGCAAAAATGCTTAATTTCAGCACAGTAAAAGAACAAGAAATAAAACAAAAACAAAAGAAAAAGAAAGAGAAGAAAGTTGTAAAAAAACATACATCTTTCAATCATTTTTATTTATTTTTTATTTTTTCTACTAAAAGAATGTAAGAACTAATTGAAGTTGGGAACGAATCACTGGTCAAGCGATGCTAAGAAAATAAAATAACCTCAAGATTTCACTTCACTATGTGGAAAATCCGTACAAAGTATTGGCTTAAAATGAAAGATAATCATGGTTAGAATAGAAACTATGCAAAATACGTGAAAAACTCTCTGCCAAACAATAAGAGGGAGATTTTCCATAGCAAATAAATTTCTGGCTAACCATTTTGTGACAGATAATAGGATCTGTGCTTATCTCCGTCTGAAATTTAAGGAGAAGAGGATGTAAGAGGTAAGAGTAATGTTAAAGCATGTTCATTCTTCACTAGATCCTTCTATCAAATTTAAATTCCATAAAATTTTTGGTAAAAATGAGATTTAATCCTTTCTTTAAACTTGTATCAAATCAGGTTTTCACCAAATATTTCATTAAATCATGTATGAACAAAATATTTCACTAAATTTTCCGTAATTTTTTTTTTTTCACTTAAATTTGAATAAATTGTTTAAAAATGATGGATTAGAGATATATTTTTTCACCTGAATTGGTTAAAAGACGTTTTTGAGATAGGTTAAATATTTAGTGAAAAAATTTGATTCTCACTATGAGACAGCGCTATATCAAATTAAGCTTTTGGTCCAAATTTTTAACAAATTTGAACTCCCCTCCAAAAAAAAAGGGGAAAAAAAGGTAGAGGGTTGGAATGGCGATGCTCAAAAAATAAATAAATAAATAAATAAATAAAAGGAGAGTTGGATAGGAGATGCACTTATGTGTATATATATATAATGGCTATGAATATGAAACATATGCAATGTGGCAAACCTGCAAGTTGTTGTATCTGTTAAAGGTCTTAGAGCAAAGAGGACATGAGAACTGTGTAGGACCAATGAGAATCTGTGATGGAGTAGGAATCCAGTACGGATCCTTGTTTAATTTGTTCAAAGGATACCCTGAAACTACATGAACACCTTCATTTTTGGTCACCTCTGAAGGAGATACTAAATCAGAACTAGGGCTAGGGCTAGGGAGCCCTATATGTAGGGCTACAGTTACACTTTCATCATCAGCGTCCCTGGACTTGATCTTGTCATCTAATTCCATAGCACTCGCACTCGCACTCGCACTCGCAGTGGCACTGCATGAAGAAGACTCATGGTGATCTTGTGCTGCGGTGCTTAGGTTGTTTAGAAGAGGAAGGGCTACTAGTGTTGGAGGTGAGGGAGGTGAGATTTGACTTCGAATGGAAGATTTGTTGTTGTTTGAGTACAAGTTGTGAGACTGAGGAGGGTAGGAGGAAGAAGGGTTAGAGTAAGAGGAAGAGTAGTGCGGGTAGTGAAGAGGTAGGAAGTTGAACCATCCAGTGAAGAAATTTGAGTAGGGTTCTGTCATTTTTAAAGATCTACCCAGGAATATTGTTTAGTAGCTGCCTTGGTACATTGATAACACAAATAAGAACTTATATATCTATGTGTGTGTATATATGTAGAGAGAGAGAGAGGAGAAGAACAAGAAGAAAACTGTGTGGAAAGATTTAACAAAGCCCCTTAGGACTGTGAGTGGAAATCAAGAAATTTACCCCCTGCAGACGAGAAGATGACTAAGGGAGAAAGTAAAAAGCCAAACACTAGGTCAGAGATTAGACTTGCAGTTTGTTTCTAAAGAGAGTGCTGTGCCACACAAAGAGAGAGAGAGAGAGAGAGAGAGTGAACATTCTGTTGTATATGACTTTTTTCTTTTATCTTAATAATCCAAGCAACAATCACTCAGCAATTCGCCTTGGTGGGCGTGTCTCTACTTTTTCATACAGATTTAACCTATTGTTCCTGTCATCACTGCTGTTTTTATCTGTTTTGACTCCATTGATAAATTCTTCAAAGCTAAGAGATTTGAATTTGGTTAATTCTCTCAATCACCATATCGGTGTTGATTAGTAAGTCTAATAGTTGAAAGAAAAACCTGCTTTTGTTTTTTTTATTAAAAAAAATAAAAAAAAGGACAAAAGAAATGTTGAAACAAAGAGATATTCTTTCTAAATTTTCATATGGAATGACTTGATTTTTTAAATGTTTTATTTTAAAACAAAACATCAACTTTTATGACCCATAATTTCAAGCATATATGACATTGTTAAACATTATTTTGAGTTTTCTATGTAAATGTTATGGTTGTAGATTAATTCTTAAACGTCAACACTAAGGTGCCGTTTGACTGCATTTACCATTTACAATTTTCAATTTACAAAAAAATATTTAACATGTTTATATTTATTTTTGATAAAAATAAAAATTAAAAAACATGTTTGATACACAAGTATCTATATTTTGAAAACAAGTGAAAAGAGATGGTAGTTGAAGGTTGGAGATGATGGCCAGAGGAGGTTGTCGGCTGCGGAAGGTGGTTGCCACCAAAAGGTGGTTGGTGGTGATTGGCCATGGGAAGTGATGTCCGGAAATGATTGTCAATGGTCGGAGATGGTGGCCAGTCGACTGCCTAAAATGGTTTTCAATAAAAGGTGGTGTTAAGGGTGGAAACTGCTGGTGGGAGATGGTTGGCAGCGATGACAGGTGGTTGGCGACCAAGGGACATGGTGGTTGAAAATAGTTAGTGAAGGAGGTCATCGACAATGATAGCCAATATTAAGCACTGGTTAGTAGTCGAAAAGGGTGAGAGAAAGATGAAGAAATGAAAAGAAAAAAAAAAATTAAAGAATTGAAACAAACTTGTTTGTGTTTAAACTATTTACAATTTTTGAAAACAAAAACATAAACCACAGAAGTTTTTGTTTACAATTTCCAAAAATTTGTAAATATAAATAGAAAAATTGTAAATATAAATTTATCAAATAGGCTCTAGTATAATTTATAATTTTAACAAGGGTTTATTATACTTTCTATCCTTAAACTATTGTCAAATTGTCTATTTAATCCATAAACTATCGATTGAGTCTACTCAATCCCTAAGTATATATAAATTAAAGCCTATTTAGGCCTCGTTTGGCAACAGACTAATTTAGTAACTTTTTGGCTAAAATATGAGCTAAAAAAAACTAGTATGTTTGTGATGACTTTTTGACTTTTTACGAAAAGATGTGCAAAAAGTAAAGAGAAAAGAGAATCTTTGACTTTTTGGTATGGGTTATTGACTTTTTGGCTAATTTAGTAACTTTTTGACTTTTTGACTAAAAAAGAGGGTTCCCGAACGAGGCCTTAATCTCTAAACTATCAATTGAATCTTTTGCAAAACATGCTTACCATATAATCACATATCACATAAACAAGTTAAACACTTAATCACATAATTGAATCAAGTCTACAAGGATGACTACTTGTCCTGAAACTCTCAACGAACTCTCACCTTAAACCACGTTGATTAGACACTTCTACAATGAGATCTCAAAGAAGGTTAACCGGCTATAAACATTATCCCTGAAACTTAACCACATACTCACATAAACGCAAAACACAATGTCCTAGCACTTTCGTTTGGCAACAGGCTAATTTAGTAACTTTTTGGCTATTTGGCTAAAATATGAGCTAAAAAAAACTAGTATGTTTGGGGTGACTTTTTGACATTTTACGAAAAGATGTGCAAAAAGTAAAGAGAAAAGAGAATCTTTGACTTTTTGGTATGGGTTATCAACTTTTTGGCTAATTTAGTAACTTTTTGACTTTGTGACTAAAAAAGAGGGTTCCCGAACGAGGCCTTAATCTCTAAACTATCAATTGAATCTTTTGCAAAACATGCTTACCATATAATCACATATCACATAAACAAGTTAAACACTTAATCACATAATTGAATCAAGTCTACAAGGATGACTACTTGTCCTGAAACTCTCAACGAACTCTCACCTTAAACCACGTTGATTAGACACTTCTACAATGAGATCTCAAAGAAGGTTAACCGGCTATAAACATTATCCCTGAAACTTAACCACATACTCACATAAACGCAAAACACAATGTCCTAGCACTTAGTCTGTTTACATGCAAGCATCCTCACCAAGCTAAGCACAATCCATTATGGTAAAAATTACTTCCAATGAGTTTAAGGTTTTCAAACTTAGTTAGTTCTGATACAAAATTGAAACGCCCCATATTTTATTTTCCCGAAACATTACTAGTTCAAGGTTTTCAAACTCAATTAGCTTTGATACCATGTTATAACACCATATATTTTAACTTCTAGAAACATTACCAATCCTTTATTTAAATCCATTTTAAAGATATAAGTTTGGAAATAAAATAAAATAGATAGAATAAATAAGGTCCTCTCTCACATGAACGCAATAATGGAATGTTTGACATAAATAATTACAGTACATGCCCTTAGGCTTACACTGAGAATTAAATAATAAACTACGAACAATAAAAAGAATGCATCCTATTTACAATTCATTGCCATTGCGGGTTCTATTAACAAAATCTTGGATCATTAACACAATAATAATTAGCTTGTTTGGTTCTGATTTTTAGAAAACAGTTTTAATATTTTAAGCAATTGTTTTTAATTTTTAGACACACCTAAAGTAAATACACTTAAAAATTATAATATATGTGAAAAAAATCTTTAAAAATATACTAAATACCAAAAAATATATTAAAAAAATACGAAACTTCAATACATTTTTCATATTTTTTTGTATTTATTAATTTTTTAAAATATTTTTAAAAAAATATTTTACTATTTAGATACATCGAAATAAGGTGCATCTAAAAAAGTTTTAGAAAATGCTTAAAATTTTAAAAATATGCACTGAAAACAAAAAACACGAAACACAAAAAATTCAATTTTCAAAAAATTGAATTCAAAAAACTGAAACCAAACACACTAAATCTTATTGAGTCCTTGGAAATATATCTGATGCTACACCTAAAATAATTCCATAATTCAGATGAACAAATATGTCTAGTACGAATTTGTAATGAATCTAAGTAATAACATACCATAGATATATATGATCATGATGCTCAAGTCATAGATATATAAGTAATGTGACTTTTAAAATCTATACTCAACAACCAATTTATTTATTTAACAAGCAACAAACTTCAAGAACACTCACAAACTAGCATTGACACTTACATCCCTTAAGTTGTATAACCAAACATAAACCCCACCATGACACAACACTAGTTTGAAAGTATACCTTTTTCACATATCAAGACATCATTAAATCCATTCAATTTGACTAATAGCATAATTACGTTGCGTTCCTTATATTTACCGGTCTTAGCACGGAAAGGCAATTGGGCACTTTACAATTCACAACAAGACCAACTAGAAGGAGTAAAAAATTCCACAACACCATTTACTGGGCGATAACTGAAAGGAATTGAAACCTATCTCAATGCGCCACGCATTATTGGTGGCTAACCGGAAGGAAAACGGAACCTCCATATAGCCCCAACAGTTCACGTTCTTTACTGGCACAAGCCAGAAGGTAAGCGAACCCTATCTCAATGTGTCACGCTTTACCGGTCATTATTCGAAAGGAATGCAGAACCTCCACACGATTTACCAAGCACACTTAAAAGAATCATAATATATCTGAAGGCGTCACGCTTTACTGGTCATAAGTCAAAAGCAAACGGACCCTTTGCATCGTTCAAATCTGCCATAATATTCTAAATTTCAAAATAAATTAACAACACATAGTACATATACACTATTCGAGAACAATTAACACCATCCTGCACTAATTGCCAAGGACAAAACTCTAAACAATATCTAGCGCAACTCTCCAAGAATTTAAACAAATGAAAATCTCATAAAGCTCCACAACTTCAACATTATCAATCATATGACAATTGTAACGCCCCGAAAAATTGGACAGGGTATATCTATTTATACAACAAACCCACCTGATAGACAAACACATATATCTAGCTAACTATTCCATATATCCATTTCCATTTAATCTCAAATGCCAAATACATGTTGTTCACATCTCAATGCCTCAGTTCCAATCTCAAGCATGCATTTTACAACAAGGATGAAATGGAAGCCAAACAAATAATGAGTGCCCTACAGGCTTACTAATTTATCTAAGAACATTATTGGTTACACAAAATGGAGTTTCAACTCAACGCAAATACATCCCTAGGCTTACACAAAATGGAGTTTCAACAAATAACAATAAAACAAAAAGGAAGCCTCAGCTCCGAGTCCTCCCAAGTTAGTGCCTTTATCATGACCCGAACCCGCCCTCATGGATTAAGGTCATAACCGGCCAGTAATCAAAAGATTACCTATGGCCTCAAACCAGATTAGATATATTTCAATAGAGTTAAGGGGTCAAAACGGAAGCAAACTTAAACTTTTGTCCATAGAGCTGTGCTTACATGGTACATTAATAACTCACATCAAAGGAAGTTAACATATAAGCTTTACATAACAGGATCATTCAAGTCATAGTCAGCCAAACCAAAAACTTATATACAAAGGTGATCCAAAGTTTTCACCAATGTAGCAAAGATATAACAAAAGGACAAAAAGGCGAAAACAAGTCTTATGCGTGAGACGTATGGGCTGACTCTTCAAAATTTTGACTGTTTCTCTCATACTTCACCGAGGCTGGGTTTGAACATCACTTGGCTCACCTACAGACACATGAATGAGGGTGAGCGAAAGCCTAGTGAATAATATCGAATAAAGAAGATACATGAACGAAATTTGAAATAGATACATCAGACGGCCTTAG